GACATCTTCAAAAATGCAAATGCAAATTAATATTTATTTTCCTGTTTTTAAACTAAATGTTTGTAATTAGTTAGTTAGAGGACCTTCCTGTGTCTGCAGATGATCTTTAAAATGATCTTTGGGTGAATTTTAAAGGAAAATTTCACCCTGAAATTAATATTCACTCTATTTACTTACCATAATGTCATTCCAAACCGGTATGCTATTATTATTTTTCTGCGGAACACAAAAAGAGAAATGTTTAAAAATCTCTGTAACACTTTACAATAAGGTTCATTAGTTAACTACTTTAGTTATAATGAACTAAGTAAGCATGAACAATATTTCTACAGAATTGATTAATCTTATGTTAATGTCAACATTTACTAATGCATTAGTAAAATCGAAAGCTGTGCTTGTTAACATTAGTTGTGAACTAACAATGAACGACTGCATTTTCATTAACTAACATTAACAAAGATTAATAAATTCTGTAATAAATGTATTGTTCATTGTTTGTTCATGCTAGTTAATACATTAACTAATGTAACCTTATTGTAAAGTGTTACCATAATCTTTTAAAAGAAAACTAGTCCATATGAGTCTATCATGCACTATAGTTTGTATTTATATCATGACATTTATCACAGAACTAATTAGCAGACACTAAAGTTCACAGGTTTTTTACATGTCTGAACCGCTGTACAACACGCATCGGCATCTCCACACGCTGGAGCTCTGAGTCACTGCTGAGATGCACATATATAATTCACACGGCCAAAAACGGCTCCTCCATATATTATTAAATGAAATAACCTCTCATTTAGAGCAGCAGCGAGGAAAGCGTGTAAAACAGAAGGTCCGCACTGTCAGGGATCTAAAAAAGAAAGTGCAAACGCAGCATGAGAACAACTTATATGGGAACCTATTGCTGCTCTTTCATTGTCTAGAAGAATGATAACAATTAACTTACCATCCGCTTATATGCTGGCAAGACATTTTACCACCACAAAATTGGATAAAATGAGGGGTAACTGCTATAGTGGTGTGCTGTGTTATTTTTAAAATGACTAAACTAGACACTGGGACTCTGTTCCAAAACCTAGTGTTTGTACAACTGGGGTTATAAATAAAAAGGGAAAAAAAAAAAAAAAAAAAACATGGTTAATTTTCGTTTTGTTGGGGTAATTTTGTTGTGGCCTGTGCTACTTGCGCGTTTCTATAGTTGGTAGTGTTGTGAGTATTTGCAGTGCCTTTCTTTATTTGTTTGTGTTGTGAGTGTTTGCAGCGCGTTTCTGTTTTTGCAGCGCGTTTCTTTATTTGGTTTTGTTGTGAGTATTTGCAGCACGTTTCTGTTTTTGCTTGTGTTGTTAGCATTTGCAGCGCGTTTCTTTATTTGTTTGAGTTGTGAGTATTTGCAGCGCGTTTCTTTATTTGTTGTGAGTGTTTGCAGCGCGTATCTGTTTTGCAGAGTTTCTTTATTTGTTTGTGTTGTGAGTGTTTGTAGCGCGTTTCTGTTTTTGCAGCATTTCTTTATTTGTTTGTGTTGTGAGTGTTTGCAGCGCGTTTCTGTTTTTGCAGCGTTTCTTTATTTGTTTGTGTTGTGAGTGTTTGCAGCGCGTTTCTGTTTTTGCAGCGTTTCTTTATTTGTTTTTGTTGTGAGTATTTGCAGCACGTTTCTGTTTTTGCTTGTGTTGTTAGCATTTGCAGCGCGTTTCTTTATTTGTTTGAGTTGTGAGTATTTGCAGCGTGTTTCTGTTTTTGCAGCGCGTTTCTTTATTTGTTGTGAGTGTTTGCAGCGCGTTTCTGTTTGCAGAGTTTCTTTATTTGTTTGTGTTGTGAGTGTTTGTAGCGCGTTTCTGTTTTTACAGCATTTCTTTATTTGTTTGTGTTGTGAGTGTTTGCAGCGCGTTTCTGTTTTTGCAGAGTTTCTTTATTTGTTTGTGCTGTGAGCATTTGCAGCGCGTTTTTGTATTTGGTTGTGTTGCGAGTATTTGCAGCACATGTTCTGTCAAATTGATGAAGATGTTTTTTTTATTTGCTGGTGCTTTTTCTATTTGCATGTGTTTTCTGAAGTTGCAGCGCGTTGAGCTCTCTCGGCCACCTTTGCTTTGCCATCATAGGAATAAATTACATTTTAATATATTCAAATACAAAATAGCAATTATAAATAGAAAAAATATTTCACAATAGTATTGTTTTTTACTGTAGTCAGAACACTCGCTGAAAATGTTTCTGGTCAGATGACGATAGACTTTCACTTTGTGAAGTAGATTTAAATTGGATCTAACAATGCTTTACCAGCCTTAACCCATATTTCCTGATTTTGGTGGTTATATTTGTCAAACATAAGACTTTCTCTAATAAATTGGACAAAATGAGTTCACCTCTTCATTTACATACTCAGGGTGTAATTGATTCAACTCTAGTAGTTCTCTGCCAACTGCCACTTTAACTATTGTAAGCGAAACCAAGCGGTAATTTACAGTAAGTGGATGGGATAGCGTAGGACGGTACTTTATTAATCCCCTGGGTGAAATTGATGGTAAAAGGACTTACATTTTAAAGATTGAGGTGAAAATATTGGCCTTGGCTGTATAGTTTCTGTAGTAGAGTAACGTGTCCTAAAAGACCTGACGGTAATTTACAGAGGTGTAGCCTCTCTTTCCCCATATGTAACATTTAGAGTGCTATTTTTCATGACTAAATTATGTAAAAGTCCTAAACAACAGGCTTTCTGCCAAAGACTCAATGTTTTGATTGGATCCTCCGGTGGCTCCCATGCCTGGCTAACTCAGCACACCGACACAGATGTAGAGTGGGAGGGTGTGATCGAGTCTCTGTGTCTCTACCTGATAATAAGACATCATGTGGATACGTCTGTCTCGAGCTGAAGATAGCGCATTCTGTATGGGAGGCTGATACATTGTTGTGATGTTTAGGATATGTATTTCTCCTGCAATATGACATCCTTCGTTGATCTGCTTACAGAGTTTTCGCGGGTGGTTATCGGCTTGATCTACGGCTGACAAGGAGGTATTCAGTAGAATGCGGCTTGGGAATTTGCTAATAGAGAAGCAACTGTTGGTTTTTTCAGGTACAAATAGACATGTTTTTCTGTTTATCAAGTTGGCATTCATAAATCGCCCTATAGAAGCTTTTACAAAAGTGCAACAGAATCACGGAATCATCATGTTACAACCTTTTTAACTGAAAAATGCACTTAGGATGTGTTAGTTAAAGAACTGTTATCTTGCAAATGTAACTATATTGGTGAAAATTGCTCTCAAAATGCATTACAATGATAATTCAGAGGACACATAGAGTATACTCACAATAGATACTAAATAGCAAATCTCTGCAGTATAATTTTATATATTGTCACAAAAATGTAAACTGTATTATTGCACAGCTCTATATATGTTGTATATATATATATATTTCATCTATAATTATTTGCTTACATACAGTACACTTGTGTAAAACGACATATACTATATAGCAAATCTCCACCGTCGAATTATGTAACTATGCTATCGCACATCTCTGTATATAAAGTCGGATATATAGGTATATTCAACTTCATTCACAATCAGTATACTCATTGGGTGATATATGCTGTATAGCTTATCTCAACATCTTGATTGCTTGTACTTTCGCAAAATGTAAACTCACCCAGCTCTGCTAAATACAGCTATAAGTAATAGAATAGAAATTATAAACATTAACATCATGATTTTCTGTCTAGCTGCTTTGAAACAATTTGTATTGTGAAAGCACTTTATAAATAAATTTGACTTTACTTGACTTTTTTGTTCTTGACTTGTTGTTATTTTGCATTCTAACCAGAATAACAAGTTAATCGAGTGGCTAGCTAGTTATCTACAAACACTAAAAATGCGATATTATATGCAACTTGTGGGTTCTGCTTATTAAATTGCTCAAATTTTTTAAAGTAACATTTTTTGTTACAAACTTTATGAAATATGATCATCATAATTATAATAGGAATAGAAAAACACCTTACAGATTGGATGTGCCATATATCATTGGAAAGGTTTCAACTAGTTGAAATCATAGCGACTATTTGTGTGTAAACAACAACAAAAAACCCTCAGACACACATATAAGGTGCCATTCACACGGAACAACTGAAGTGAATCAAGCACAAAAGTTGAACTGTTTTTAAACTTGACACCGCATTTAAATACATGGTGCATTGATCATTGGTCAAAGATGTCTGAATAACACGTCTCTTATAGTATGCTACCTGCTGTGAGACTGGTTAGGTCTTACGTGCCCATTGCAAAGCCCTAATGTCTTCCGTGTCTCCCTCTGCAGGTAATTGACATAATTGTCCGTTAGCCGCTGCAGTCATGGATCTGAAGGACAGACGGCAGCGCTCTCTGACACAGGGTCAGTGCGGAAAGGATCTGCACTACGCCACATCCTCTCTGGACAGTGAGAACTGCCATATAATGTCACAGAAATCATACAGTTCCAGCAAGACGCTGAAGGCCTACCAGCAGGATGGACACCTGCGCTATGGAAGATGTGTTGCAGAGCTGGTGCACCAGGAGACAGAAGAGTATGTCAGACAAGGTGAGATTGTTACCTTAATTAATATATGAATGGAAGAAATCGTAATGATAAATATGATAGCTATGCTATTTGGTACGGTCACATTAGTGAAATATCCGCAAAATTTCGCAGACAAAAAGGTCAATTTTTTTATTGTCAATAGTGTAGTGATGTGTAAAGCACAGCTCATTCATAAGTCACTTTCAAACCAAGCAGCTTTCTGTTGGTCTACATGACAAATTGTATGTGTATATCTATCTATGATCCCAACTAATATAACATCATATATTGAGGTTTAAAGCAAATAGAAGAACTGAACAAATATATGTGCAATTCTTAAGTGCATGTTGGAAACATCAGTCTTTAGGTCAGAGTTTTCTCATTAGTTTGGGCTTTAATACAAATGCCATCATGGATGAATATGATCCATTTTAACCCACATAATCCCCCTGTAATAAAAACAGAGAAGATGATTCTGTGGTAAGTTTTAATTTGCAGCTATTGAAACTTTTGATCTGTGTGCACATACTGTGCTGATGTTTCATGACAAATACATATATTTTTAAATGTACTGTTCCTGTCTTGCAAGTGGTAAACACAAACCAGATTAGAGCAGTGATTCTGAAAAAATTTGTATTAATGTGGTACCTAAATTAAATCAATAATTGAAGATAAATGTGCTAGCTAAATGAAAGCGAGTTATGCCATGGTTCCCAACTTTTTTTTTTTTTGGTCTTCGAATTACACAGAAGCATTCATGTACAATTTGATTGTTATTAACATATCAAATTATATGCCATTTCATTTTTTACAGTGAGGATGGTTGTATCAGAAGCGATTTTAGTGATTGCCATATGAATATCATTGAGCACTTTCAAATGATGTGTGTATTAATTTTGATCACAACCAAGAATTTTTACAGAGATTTTTCTTTTTGACAAAAGCTGTGTTCTGTCTGGTATTTAGCCGTGGCCTTGTTTGTTGATTAGGGTCAGATCACAGAGGAAACTTGTGGTAAATAAAAAAAAAGTGTGCTCATCCTGAGAGACTGTTTTTGTCCAAGGACTAAGAAAATTCAACCCACCAGTTGTGCGACCAGGTTTGCTTTGCTCAAATTGATCTTATGAAGTGTAAACTGGTTATAATTACTGTTCGACCAACTGACCTTATTCGGTTGTTGCACAGAAACTAGATGGTGAAAAAGAAAGGCTTTGAAAACGTTGTGTCATGTTGAAAGCTGTCCTTATAATCACACCTTTAGCCAGGTTTGTCAATATCAGATAGAAAGATAATAGAGGTGAGCTGCAGTATTGAAGTAGGAACCTGCATCCTTTCAATATCTGCTCAAACTGTCCTATTTCTCATATTTTAAATTTCATCTAGTAGAAAAACTGTGAATTTTTAGATTTCAGAGTAGCTGGCAGTTGCAATAGCTTACATGCATCATACAAACAATTGTTATGAGCTTATTGAAAGACTACATCTTATATTTGTACTTTAAAAGTATGAGTCTTTTCATTTTTGTGTCATGAACGATATTTCCATGATGAAAAAGATGAATGGACTGAATGTAACAAAGAGTTTTAAATTTATATATTTATTTAGTAAATGATTACTCTGACTTTGTAAAACAAATAATGTATAATGCGTTTTTCTTTGTACTTATTCTCTTTTTATCTTCTAATATACATATATATTCATCACATAATCCTAAAAATGTATCATGGTTTCTAAAAAAAAATTTAAGCAGCAAAACTGTTTTTACATTGATAACAGTGAGAAGTCTTTCTTGAGCATCACATCAGCATATTAGAATGATTCCTGTGACACTGAAGACTGGAGTAATGATACTGATAAATTCAGCTAAATTTAGATTTTAAAATATATTATTTTAAAATATATGAAAATAGAAAACAACTATTATAAATTGTAATAATATTTCACAATATTCTTTTTTAAATGTATTTCTTGATAAGATAAATGCAGCCTTGTTGAGCATAAGGGACTTAAAAAATTCTTACTGACCCCAAGCTTTTCAACTGTAGTGTATACAGTATTTATATGAAAGTATTTGAATTTGCTTTTGAAAATACATAAATAAATAAATAATAAATTAAAAAAAAATTTGGTCACATTTTAGGTGAATGCTTAAGATTTAGGTTAACTGCAAAATAGCAAAAATGGTGTGTATTAATTAATTAATTAATTAATTAATTTATTTATTTATTTATTACAATTTCTAACCTAAAATCTTCATGTTTAATAACAACAAACTCATGTACATATTATTAATCAACTACACTTTATTATTACGATTATGTTTGGGTTCTCACTCTCGGTTCTCAGTCCGGATTGCATCCAGAATCACCATACGGTAATTTTGTCTGAATTCCACCAGCACAGTATTTCTGTGCAGACTCAGCCAAACTCACAATACAGCTTTTTTTTTTTTTT